GGGGTGGTACAGTCATAGCCTGGAGTCTGATTTGGATGAGTCTTCTTACCTGGCTGAGCCCGTCTTCACATCACCATCTGCTGCTCTGCTCCTTTCCGAGCCAAAGACCAGGAGCCAAACACCAACTACCACGCCAATCCCTTTACTGCTCCTCTGTCTGGGAAAAGAGGGAGCGTGTTCGCATGTGACAAGGAGACAGACCGATAACGAGAGGCAAATAAGGAGAGAGAGAGAGTCAAAGGTTGTGCATGAGGTTTGGAAAGGTAAAAAACACAAACATAGCTGTTTGTCCGGCTGTGAAGATGTGACGGAGGAGCAGAAAGTGTGCTGGGCTCTTTTTGTTTGTATCCTGGAGGAGAGCGAGATCCACAGGCGGCAGCTTCGTCTAGGTATATGCAGCAAGAGGCTGTGTGGTAGCCTTGGCAACAGAGCCAGAATGAGAGTCAGAGAGGGAGCAGGAGAGAGAGAGGGAGAGAGAGAGAGAGTCTGGATGAAAGCTTGTGTGTGTGTTTATTACCAATTCTAAGAGGACTAAAAATGGTTTTACACATGACTACTGCTTGTTTTCCAAAAAGTAAATTACTTGATTTTCACAATAAAACCAATGTTAATAGAGTAATTCCCTAAAATCAACACCACAGCACCTTTTTTACCTTGTGGGTACCTTCATAATTTAACTCGTGCACAGCATCAAAAAAACAACATAAATGCCAATAAAATGTCATCAAAATTCACCTCTAAACCAACTCTGATCAGACCCCTTATTACAGAGTAGAGCAACATTTGTAGATGCTCAGCCTTTTGACCAATTTTGACCAAGAAAGGTAACCTAATGGGTTTTAGTAGCATTGAGTCAGCACTTAGAGACTAAGATAGTCAATCTTGCAATGCAACTAAAACAGTTGCTTATATTTTGTTTACTAAAACTATAGCTTCATATTGGTTGATGGAGGCTGTAGAGAAACATGTTTGAAACAAATTTAGAGATTTGATTATTTAAAAGGGTAACTTAAAGAAATATATTACTTCTGTTGGTTGGTGACTTAATAGCAACCCTGTAATCCCTGTCCTTAAATATAGTGAACTTATTTTCCATGTGTTATACGTTGTGTAGACTCATAAGCAGATTTACTAGCTTCATCTTTTTAAGTATCAAACCAGCCATTGACATACATAGAAGAAGTTACCTCTTATGCAAAGGACTAACTGAAGATTCAATGGAACATCTCAATGGAGAGGAAAGAGTGAAGGACTTCAGGTCAGTATTTCAGTGTCTACTATTTTTTTCAAGTGCAACCATCTCTGTAGATTAAGTGAGCAGTAGTTGTGTGGACAAAAATGCCCATCTAGTGTCATTAGAGCAAGGAAGGAATGCAGTAGTGGATCACTTGTTCCAGTGAAAAACGATAAGATAAGATAAACTTTATTGATCTCACAGAGGAGGAATTCACTTGTGACATACATCATACAGTGTCTGAATGCAGAGCAAGCCGAGCCTTGAAGCTGATTTCCAACAGTGGAAGGTGTATTTACCTTAAATAGATAGTTAATGTAGAGATGATTGCATCCACTTGCTAATACATCCACTTTTAGTCAGCGATCCATGTCTGCTACCGTTGACCTAGTCAAAAAAAAAAAAAAAAGGTTTTATTTGCATATATGACAATTTGTGCTGCGATAAACACTAAGGAAGAAAAAAAATCAAAATCGGTATTAAGCACTGATCTGGTTATTACTCCGCTGCTAAACCTCCCATATAAAGACATTTATTCATATAAGGATATGTATGCTTTCCCACACTGTACATCATCAAAGGTTATTATTACCCCAGTCATAAAGCAAAAAAACCCTTCAATTTATACTTCATAAAAATTTATTCTTATTTTATTAGTAAAAAAGGCTTTCATGAAGTCATTCTCAAACCCTGAATGAGGAAGTTTGAAAATCTGAAAACCAAGCTGCAAAAAACAACTGCTAATGCCTCCAAAACTGGATTCTGACTTGAAAAATTTAATAATTCTTGTAAACACCAAAAATGAGATGCAATGTTGCTACCTGGCTCCTAAAAAAGTAAGAGACAAATATTTGTGATTTGTTTGTGCTAGTAGGACCTAGTTAGCTCAAAGGGAAGAAAAAAAACACATCTTCCAAGATACAAAATACAACACAGTTTGATTATTTACGATGTCATTCTATTGTTATAATCTTCATTTCTAGATCTAGATTTTTAAATCAAGTGGACCTCATCACTGATCCACAAATCCAGTACATTAGGACAAATGTGTTATTTTTTTAATATTTTTTTCAAAAATGTAACGCATTCAAACCTTTAAAAAAAAATTATATATATATATATATATATATATATATATATATATATATATATATATTTATTGCCTTATTTCTAGTGCATATTGTGCATATGTAATTATCTTATTTAGAGTGAAAATACTCATTCCTTAGGCAATTCATATCATTTACCAACTTAAATTAAAGGCAAATACACTTGATTTTTAGATATTTCTAGATCATTTTTGTAGTGCAGCTTTGTAAATAGAAGTGTCTTTTTAAATAAAGTTCCTTTCTGTCTAATATTGAACAGAATAGCAATATCATCGTTGCCAGTTGAGAGAATTAGCATCCTGTTCCGTGACAAAGATGGGAATGTGTGTATAAAGGGGGGGAAGTCACATCATAACCCATCACTGAACATTGAACACCCCCAACTGTCGCCTCCTCTGGTCCCAAGCTGCATGCTCTGCCATCCAACAAAGTCTCTTATCTCAATCAACCACCCCTCCTCCCCTTCGCCTCTCATCGCTACTCTGCTTTATTCTCACCATCATCTTCATCATTTCCTCATATCTTTTTGTTCTTTTCTCTCTATTTGATGCTCTTTTTCTCCTCTACGACCTCTTGTCATTTCTTGTCTCTCCCACTTTTAGTGAGTCGTGCTCTCTTTCCATTCCCTCCCTCCTGCCTGGCCATATGGTAGCCTTTCCTGTGTCATCTTTCTGAACTCACCCACAGAAAACAGCAACCATAGGATCAAATGTTAGAGTAGGAAATGCAAGCACTGGTCAAGTTTGGGGTGATATGATTTCAAAAGATTTAACTTTTTTTGTGCTAACATGCAAAACCTGCATAAAATTAGACAAAACAAATGGATCTATCTGTGATTCTTTATTCTATTGATTTCCTACACAACAATGCTGAGTTCGGCTATCTGTTAGTATTTGTTCATAGCTTGTTCAAAATCTAGAATGCTTAAGCTTGTCAAATATAATCTAGATTATCAAATACTGCATGGTAACAAAGATCGTTTTAAACAATTTGATAGTGATAAAATTTTTTTCTTTTGTGAGCCCAGGAGATTCTTATAGGGAAGCTCTGGAAGGCAAAAAAAAAAAAATCTAGATTATTTTTCCTATCCTCAAAGGAATAAGATTTTTTTTTCTGCCCTGAAAAGCAAATTTTTTTTATGCCCTTTCTTTCTGTCACTGTGCCGACACAATGCAAAAAATATAACAAAATAAAACAATGACTTGTAATGTGTTGATGGGAAAAAAAAGATTTTTTTATCCTTGCAAAGTTGAAAAACATGAAAAATAGCCCAGGTGTATTTTAATTCATAAAAAAAAAATCATATAGAAAATAGGCAAATAAAACTGTGTAAAAGCTGTAAAAAGAAATAAAAAAGTAAAAAAAAAAAGCAGTGCTGATGTATGTTTTTCCCTCTGCATGGAATAAACTAATCCTGTTACATAAGAAAAGCATCTGTGATCGGGTTTTCACTAAATGTCTGTGAGTGCATTCTTACTAAATGTAATGATTTATGACTCTTTTAGACCTGTTTTATACTTTTTAGCCTTGATGCATTTTCTTTTAGGGTTTCACGGTTGAATGTTTTTGACTAGCATGTGTGAAACTGGTTTTGTCAAACTGTTGCCCATCTTGCTCAGAACACTTACAAAAGATAAAGAAAGTTCTTAACTGGTTCAAGTAAATTAATCAACAAACACTCCAGTAACTTTTAAAATCATTATTATTATTATTTTTAATTGAGATGTGTTTTTTTATATATATAAAAAGGGGAATGATTACCTGCATAGTAATCTTCCTGTCTATATTGTGCAAACACATGCTCCTAATGGACACTGATGGCTTTCCCTTTCTCTTCACTTTCTTTACTTTGTTTATTTGCAAGAGCAAAATGGTTATCAAACCTAATCAATGGAAAGGAGAAGAAATGCTGCCTTTCTGTGGCCTTGACCTGTTCAATCCTGCAGCAAACACTACATTATTTTCTGCTTCCCTGCATTTTACTGACTTTATATGTCATATTCATGCTGATGATGCAGTATTTGTGGCTGCTGGAGCAAATGAGACATAGACCATAATTAAACCAGTAAATATAGTTCCACATCATAAAAACACTCCAGCTCTTGTCAAAGAGACAATGGGGCAGCATTCCTGTGGTAAGAACCAGAGACATCTAGTGGTCTTGCATGCATAGTGCAGGTATTTTCACAAATGAAGGAAGTTTCCACATAGGCCCTATAATAGCATGTCTGTGGAACATTTATCCAAATGATATATTATTTAATAGATTCTAACAAGTTAATAAGGCTTAAAGCCTTCCTGACTGTTACTGAGCTGATGCCAATCTCAGATTTGACTGTGACTCATCCTGTCACATCCAGATGAAGGCAGCCCAGCTGTACTGCACAGTCTAACACAGACAGACATTCTCATCTCGCTGCACATTTGCATCAGAGAGTTATGACCACTCCTGAGATCTGTGGGGTGATGCAGTTTTTTTTTTCCTGAATAATAAATGCTGTTACTAATAAGTTTTTTCAAAAACACATTTAATATGAATCAGACATGGAAACCAAACAAAGACATGTATTTTGTGGTTATATGATAACACTTTGCAGTAAGTTATATATACCTCTGTATTTGCAAGTTAAAAAGAATAAATGCAAATTCAAGGCTTTCGACGCAGGATGTCATCTGATTTTATTCAGACAGATCTGCCAGCTAACTCTGTTCTTACTTAAAACTGCTCTGTGCAGTTTTATTCTGTAATTCGTACTATGGGAATACACAGAGGGAACTCTCTGAAACAGAACGGCCCTACTACTTGTACATTTGTAAAAGGCTGTCTTTTTTATGTTTGACACCAACTATTGGAACTAATTATCCACATGAAAGTCAAGAAGACTCTAACAAACTAGCTGCATTTCCTGGAAATTTGCAAAACCAAAACCACATTGAATATTGCTCTCATGCTTTGTGAGGTTTTCTACCTAAGTTTAGTTTTTGCTTAAAGTTCTAGAAAACATCAAAAGATTTTCTTGTTCCTGTGAGTTTTGTTTCCTATTGCATTT